GGCTGCTGAAAGGGCGGCGACGGGGCCGCGGAAGGGCGGCGACAGGGCCGCTGAAAGGGCGGCGACAGGGCCGCGGAAGGGGTGGGCGGCGACGGGGCCGCTGAAAGGCGGCGACGGGGCCGCGGAAGGGCGGCAATGGGGCCGCTGAAGGGTGGCAACGGGGCCGTAGTTAGGGGCGGCGACGGGGCCGCTGAAAGGGCGGCGACATTGCCACCTAAGGGCGGCGACGGGGCCGCTTAAAGGGCGGCGCGACGGGGCCGTAGGGGCGGCGCGACGGGGCCGCAAGGGCGGCGCGACGGGGCCGTTAGGGGCTTTAAGAGGGGCCATTAGGGGCCGTAAGTGGGGGAACGATACAGGGCGCAACTCGGGCAGGGGCCAAGCGTGCTCCGGGCAGGAAAAAAAAAAAAAAGATCGGTGGGTCCTAGGAACAGTTCCCACGAGGGAACCAGCTCTATACCATGTGAAGTTTAGAACGAGAGAATGATTGAACTATGAAACAGTTGGGTACAAGTACTAACCCTAATTGGGTTGTACCCCTTATGGGCTACCCCACTACAGCCTACACAGGTTTATAAGCTATAATGTTCTGACACACCTGTCGGCGGACTTCCATCTTTAGCCCCTCAGTATACGCTTGGATTTTTTCCCCTTCCGTCATGTCGGTAATTCGGTTGAAGAGGCTTTCCATCTGCTGCGTGTACTGTGTTACACTGCCAAACTGTTTATGCCGATGAATCTGCTGCCGCGCCATGTAGCTGGAGTTGATTGGTTCGAAACGTTGAATTAAAGCTTCCCGAAACTGCGTCCATGACCCCTCGCCTCGGATCCTATTGCTGTTGTAAATCCACTCGAGCGCTGGGCCTCGTAACAATGTCGCTGCGAGTCAAATCCGCATTGCATCGTGTGTCGGGGTCGTACAGCCAACGGCCTCGAAGTAAATTTCGAGAGTCGCAATAAATCGACGAACGTCAGTGTCTCTCGCATTCGGATTTAAAGTCTCCGGTAGCCTCGGACGTGCCGCCTCAAGATTCATTGTAGCTGCTGCCGCTGCTGCTGGGTGAAGTGTTGGTGTAGCCGCTGCTGCTGCCGACGTCGCTGCTGCATTCGCCGCTGCGTTCGCTGCTGTCGACTGGTTCGCGAGAAGCTCCTCTATTCGCTGGAGTACCGCTCGCGTCTGGTCCAGGTCGGTGTGTAACTCTGTAATTTTCTCTACGGAATTATCACCGTTTTCTCCCTTTGGCGATTTATAAGAAGATTTGCGACAAAAATATATGAATTTTAGGCGCTGGTCATCTTACTGGGAGTCGAGTTGACTGCAGAAATGACGAGGGCTGATTCTGTAGGTCGCGTTATTCTCCCTTATTCGAAATTCGCGTCTGATCTCGGCCGTTGAGAAGAAATTCAATCCGAATCTCCAAATTCCAACATTTTTTGGGTGAAATTCTCGAGGCCGTTGAGATTCGAATCGATCCGACGGTCGAAATTCCAACTTTTTTCGCCACTGGACCTGAGGAGTGTTCGAAAACCGGTTCGAGGGGGACGTTAGAAAATAGCGCGGAACTGGTTTACGTACCCGAAATCGGCGCTTTCCGTCGTCGCCCCCGTGGTTTTAAAAGCTAGGTTTAAGCGGTCGAAAAACTATGCGTCTAAACAGGCTCTGAATACCAAGTGTGAGGATCTAGGATCGAGCTCAGAAAAGAGACTTGTAATTGAATGTCCACCTGGGTACAACACGAGGCTATATATAGGCTCGACACAAGGCCCCGTAACTAGGTGTTACGAGAAGGTTCCGCGGGTCGCAAAGCGTCCCGAACAGATCCTTACCGAATTCGGTAGGAGGCAATTCGGTGGCAACCGAAAAGCCAAAGTTCGGTGCACGCAACCTAGCTCGGTGCTATAACTATAATAAAAGATAGGAAAGCACCTAGCCTAGGAATTCAAGCAATTCATGCATGCATATAAGTATCCTATGCTAGAAAGGCAAGCAAGCATAGCTGGCATAAGCCGTCGTACTCTCACAGGCACAACATTGAAAGTGTCACTGGCAATGGCAGCAAACCGTGGATGGCGGGTGAAGCAGATGGATATCACCACCACCTTCCTCAATGGGATCATTCTGGAGGAGCTGTACTTGTTACAGCCTGAGGGTTTGGATGATGGGAGCGGCAGGGTGTGCAGGTTGAACAAGGCCATTTATGGCCTGAAGCAGGCTCCTCGTGCATGGTATCACAAGCTAGAGGAGACACTGCTGGCTGGGGGGTTCAAGAAGAGTGAGTGTGACCACAGCCTGTTCCTGCTACAAGAGAAGGGCATTTTCTCATGCTCCTGGTGTATGTGGACGACATCCTGCTCTTCTCTGAGTCGTCTGCAATGATTGAGCGTGTGGAGGAGATGCTGGAGATGCAGTTCATGTGTTCCAAGATGGGAGATGTGAAGTACTACCTAGGGATGCATGTGGAGAGGGACCTTGACAAGGGAGTGTTGAGGTTGCACCAGAGGAAGTACTGTGAGGGGCTGGCCGAGAAGTATGGGCTACAAGATGGAGGGAAGCCAACCACCCCACTGCCTTCAGGGCTCATAGTGGAGCCCTGTGCTGATGAGGAGGTGGTGGGTGAGAGTGACAGGAAGCTGTTTTATTCCATGGTGGGGGCACTCAATTATGCGGCTAACCAAATGCGGCCTGACATTGCCTTTGCTACATCCAGGCTTGCAAGTGTGGTTGCACGCCACAGTCATGAGCAGCTGGAAGCGGCCAAGAGGTTGGTCCGCTATGAGCTTGGAGTACAGTGCTGTGCAACAGAGGCTGCAGAGGGGTGCAACTGATTCGGGCAAGGGGGAGATGCTCCTGACCAGCTACACTGACGCCAGCTTCAACTCAATGAAGGCGGATGGCACCAACATTGGAGGCTATGTGTGCCTGTTTGGAGGTGGTGCAGTGAGCTGGCGCAGCAAGAAGCAGAACGAGGTGGGGCAGTCCTCGTGTGAGACAGAGTACATGGCCCTGCATCATGGGGCAAAGGAGGTGGTGTGCCTGAGGCGTTTGTTGGAGGAGATCGGAGTGTGCCAGAGGGAGCCGACTATGATTTTCTGTGACAATGAGTCGGCGGTGAAGCTATCGAAGAATGCTTGTCTTCATGGGCTGACCAAACACATCAGGCCTAAGTGGCATTGGGTGAGGAGGCTCCTGGACAAGGAGGTGCGGCTGGAGATGTGAAGACCCATCAGCAGGCGGCTGACATTCTCACCAAGCGTCTGGCTGAATCTGAGCATTGGAAGTGCATGAAGCTTGCTGGGATGAGTGTGCATTGAGGGTGCATGCTTGAGCTATGGCATGTGAAATGATGGTTGGCAGCCAGAGGGGGAGTTTGTTGTGTGATGCAATCATATGCATTCACGTCTGTCTGCCTTCCATCATGTGTTCGTGCGTTGCATGCGTGGTGTGAGCGTGAGCAAGAATTTGTGTTTTGTGCGGTTTGGTTTTTCTGAGTGTGTGTGAATGTTATTTGGCTTGAGCATATATCTGAAGTGACACCTCTACTCAAGAGCTTTCCGACGAACCAAGTATCGCTTCAATCGGAGCACGAACAAGAAAGTTACGAACGTTGGAGTTCGTATGCTTTTCATATTTGATTGTGGCAACTGTGGGAAGTTGTGGGGTTGACTCAATATGGGGTACAGACTTTTGGGGGTTGGGAAATTCGTCTATCTACTGTAGTTGCTGCCAGATGGTTGGGAGAAACCAAACCAGGTTGGCAAGTGTGGCCAAGTTGGGTTGAGGTGGATTGTGGAGGTTGGGATAGTGATAAAGGTCAAAGTTGGGTTGCCTATGGGGAAGGGAATTGTGTGGCATGGGGTTTCCTTGGTTGGGGACTCTCTTGGGACCTTCCCTCTCGTCCTCCTCATCCCTTCCACCTGGTTTAATGCTACTCTAATTCTCTTGTGTGAACTTCTGTGAGACTCGTGTGATTGAGTTAAGATTCTATGGCAGCTTACCTACTAGTGCGCCAAAATTGATAACTCAAGAAATACTTCACCTTTTCGTACAATTCAGCTTGGGAATTGTAGCCACCGACTATAGCTACAACATATCCGGAATTGGTGAAGTTTTGACGATGCGTTTTTTTTGTCGACGGCGTTTCTTGTGAGCGCGACTATTCTGTCCAGAAATATAGACCAACGACTTTGAGAAAGTTAGGCACCTAATCTTCATAGACTCCGTCCTTAGTCTCTAACACCGCTGCCCTCCAGGATGCGATGGTCACTACCACCACTCCTGGGGGCCAGCGTGTGTCGATCTGCACGTGTACACGGACGGGCCGTCACCTGGCCACGTTCACCCGTCGGCCTGGGTTGAGTCTGTACACACTGACTACTTAGCCTCCTCAAGTAGCTGCTTCTGCGTCTGCGTTAGGTCAGCTTGCGGCCCCCTGCTCGTGTCGCGCCCTATCGCACCAGACTCTCCTTTGGAACCACCGCCTTGTTCACCCCTCCCTGCCACGCCTCCGTGGCATGCACACCTGTATCCTTGTCTCTTGTCTTCCAGTCTTTGCCTCCCCTCCCACCCTCCCCTGCCCCTCCCTGCTATCCCTGTGTCAAGGGGCGGCAGCGCGCTGCTCCTCACTCCTCCTCGTTTCCCCCGACGACTGCTCCCCTGCAGACTCTCCACATGGACGTGTGGGGCCCAGCCCGCGTCCATGGACAGGGCCGCGAGCGATACTTTCTGCTGGTTGTTGACGACTACTCGTGTTACACCATGGTCTTCCTCTTGCGCAGCAAGGGATAGGGATGTTTTGATCCCTTGGATCCGCGCTGTCCGTCTCCAGCTCCACGAGCGGTTCGTCACGTACCTTCCGGTCGTGCATCTGCACTCTGACAGAGGTGGTGAGTTTGCCTCCGACCTCTTGCAGGACTTTTGTCATGGGGAGGGCATCACCCAGTCGCTCACAGTTCCGGTCTCTCCATAGCAGAATGGGGTTGCTGAGCGCCGCATTGGCTTAGTCATGGAGGTCGCTCGTTCCTCCATGATCCATGCGGCTGCTCCCCATATTCTGTGGCCGTTTGCGGTCCGGTACGCTGCGAATCAGCTCGACCTCTGGCCCCGTGTCTCTTTGCCGGAGACCTCGCCGACACTGCGTTGGACGGGAGAGGTTGGCGATGCTTCGGTGTTTCGGGTCTGGGGATCTCGTGCCTTTGTCCATGATTCCACCGCGGACAAGCTCCCCCCGCGCCATTCCCTGTGTCTTCCTTGGCTTTCCCCCTCACGCGCCTGGCTGACAGTTTTACCACCCCACCTCGCGCCGTGTCCTGTCCTCTTAGGACGTCACGTTTGACAAGTCAGTTCCCTTTTACCGTCTCTTCCCCTACCGCACTGCCCCTCTCCTTCCCCCACTGCTCTTCCTCGCACCAATTCCCCCTCCGGTAGACTCCCTCCCCCCTCAGGGTCCTGCTCCCTAAGGTGTGTCTCAGGTAGACCCACTCCCCTTGGCTGACCTTGTCGAGGTCGCTGTTGACTCTGGTGCTGCTGGGGGTGGTGTTGCTAGGGGTGCTGCTTCTGGGGGTGCTGAGCCTGAGCATGTGGAGTGTGGGGGTGCTGAGCCTGGAGTTGCTGAGTCTGAGGGTGCGGAGCCTAGGGGTGCTGAGTCTGAGCGTGTGGAGCCTGGGGGTGCAGTTACTGAGTGTGTGGAGACTGGGGGTGCTGAGTCTGGGGGTGCTGAGCCAGGTGGTACTGTGTCTGCTGGAGGTCCTACGGTTCCCTCGTCAGGACGGGAGCTGCTCTCTCGACTTCATCTGTGCAAGTGGTTTGCTCGGCGCACCAGCCTTCGGAGTGGCGCTGCTGGAGCTGGGGGGCCTGCCGCTGGAGACAATGGAGCTGAAGGCACTGGAGCTGACGGAGCTAGTGGTACTGCTGCTACTGGAGGTGCTAGATCTGCTGGTCTTGGAGTTCCTCGTGCTCGAGGTGCTGGAGCTGCTGGTCCCGGAGGTGCTCATACTGGAGGTATTGGAGCTGCCGGGGCTGGTGGTGTTGCTGCTGCTGAAGGTGCTGGAGGGGATTGTACTGGGGGTACTAGAGCTGCTGGAGCTGGTGGTGCTGCAGGTACTGGAGCTGGAGACCTTGGAGCTAAAGTTGCTGGCGCTGGAGGTGCTGGAGCTGTCGGTACTGGTGCTGAAGGCACTGTGCGGCCGCGACCGTACTTCGTTCCACTGCTTCGCTAGGTTCTCGGCCTCCCGTCTTCTACCGACCTTCCTCCACCTCTACTATGTCCACCGCGTGACCAGTTGCAGCCATAGTTACAGCCTACCTCCCCGCCGCCTGCTCCTTCTCCTTACACCGAGCAGACAGACTCTCTTACAGAGCGTCGTGCGCCTGCGTCTTGTCCTGCCTCGCATGCTCGCGCTGTTTGCACTGGTCGTCGTGTCCCTCGTCCGCGTCCTCCTTCTGTCCCAGGCATGCACGATATGGCACTTCTTCCTTCCTCTAGTCCACTACGAGTTTCCTTGCCTTCTCCTCCAGCGTCCTCTCATCCTGACGTTCTGGACCTTGAGTTTGACTTGGTTCGTGCTGCCAGACCTACTGTCACACGTCTCCTAGCCGCTATTGTCACTGACCCTTCGTTTGAGTCCACTGCTGCGTCTGCCCTTGTTGCTGAGCTTGTTCACTTTGCTGCCACCTGTCGTCTTGACTACGCCGCTAGTCTTGTTGCTGAGTCTGAGTCTGTTTGTCCTACGTCTGTCGAGGGTGAGTGTGCTCTTGACACAGGCGTCCTCAAGGATAGACAGGAGGACTTTGAGTGTCTTGCAGCTACTGTACCTCATCTCGTGTCCATGCCGCTTGCACCTGAGGGAGACCGGGATGCACCAAACATCCGACCCCGCGCTCTTACGTAGAGGCGATTACGGGTTCTTACTCCTTTCAGCGGCAGACAGCCATGGACGCAGAGATGGCATCCTGGAAGTCCACATGCACTTATGTTGACGCTGTTCTCCCTCTTGGGGCGAACATAGTTGATGGCACGTGGATTTTCAGGGTGAAGCGGCCGCCGGGTTCTCCGCCTGTCTTCAAGGCTCGTTACATCGCAAGAGGCTTTAGTCAGCGACATGGAGTTGAGTTTTTCCAGACCTTCTCCCCTACCCTGAAGATGACCACTCTTCAGGTGCTGCTGCACGTTGCTGCTCAGCGTCACTACGAGCTTCACTCTCTTGACTTCAGCACTGCTTTCTTGCAGGGCAGCCTGCACGAGGAGATCTGGCTGCGCCGTCCTTGTGGCTTCACTGGGTCGTTTCCTGAGGGTACCTAGTGGAGCCTCCGGCAACTAGTCTACTGTGTTCGCCAGGCGCCTCGTGAGTGGCACGACACATTGAGGACGCCACTTGCGGCTCTTCGGTTTGCTCCTTCGACTGCTGACCCGTTGTTGTTTCTGCGCACCGACACTTCGCTGCCACCGTTCTACATCCTCGTGTACGTCGATGACTTGGTTTTTGCCACTGCTTACACTGAGGCACTGACTCTAGTGAAGTCGGAGTTGCAAAAGAGACACACGTGTACAGACCTGGATAAGCCGCGTAGCTATCTTGGCTTGCAGATTACTCGGGACAGAGCACGGCGCACCATCACCCTGACTCAGTCACACATTGTCCTTCAGCGCTTCAACTTCCGGTTCTCCTCGCCATAGTCCACTCCTCTGCCTACCGGTCACTCGCTCTCAGCTACACCTTCGGCTGAGTCCGTAGAGCTGATTGGCCCGTATCCAGAGCTTGTGGGATGCCTCATGCACTTGATGACCTGCATTCGACCTGACCTTGCTGGCCCTCTTAGCATCCTGGCACGCTACATTGTGTCTGGGAGACACCGACCAGAACACTGGGAGGCAACTAAGAGGGTGTTGCACTACTTGTGCAGTACATCGGGCATGGGGCTCGTGCTTGGAGGACAGGATCAAGTTGTCCTCACTGGACACGCAGACGCTTCTTGGGTTTACGACTTGGCTATGCAGCGGTCGTCATAGGGTTACACCTTCAGCCTTGGCTCAGGCTCTGTTTCTTGGCAGTCTACCCGCTCGTCTTCTGTTCTCAGCTCCAGTTGTGAGGGTGAGATCTACATAGGGGCCATGGTTGCACAGGAGTTACACTGGCTCACATACCTGCTGACCGACTTGGGCGAGCCACCTCGTTCTCCTCCAGTTCTGTACGAAGACAACAAGGCCATGATTGCCTTGTGTCAGGAGCACAGATTGGAGCACAGGACAAAGCACATCGCTCTGCGTTACTTCCTTGCTCAAGAGTTGCAGCAGCGTGGACAGCTTCATCTTGTTTATGTGGCTACTCAGGCCAACACTGCTGATATATTCACCAAGGCACTTCACTCTGGTGATCATCAGCGTTTCTGTACTGCTTTAGGCCTTCTGCTTGCTTTGTCTCACTTGCTCACTGCGTGACTTTGTTTGGACTGTGATCTATGCATATATACTTGCATGCTTACACTTGCTAGGTTGTGATCACTGTATTGCCTGCTCTCATTTATATAACTCTACATGTGTACTGGCCTTTTGGCCATTTGCTTGTGCTAAGAGTGTGTGGTAACTTCGTGATCCACCCTGAGCTTGCTTTTCTTTTCTTGACTGGTCTTGTGACCCCTTGTTCTCCCCCACTTTGCCTACGAGGGTGTGTCAAACTATGTATGTTGCATGTTGTGTAGGCTGTAGTGGGGTAGCCCATATGGGGTACAGCCCAAATTAGGGTTAGTAATTGAATCACTTTCTCACTCAATGCATTCATTCTTGCTCGTTAGTTTATGACAAATTGTCTACGCACCAAAGTCTTCTTGGCAGGAGCACTACTGCGCCCTTATGGTACGGAACCACTCAGCACGTCTCACCCACACACCTGCACCATTTGTCTTACTGCGGCCCTCACACACCAAGCCTACCCCTCCCTGGAGCCAAGCACCAATCACTACAAGAAACTGCAGAAAGTCTACAACGATATCTTCGTACTTGCCTTTGACGGCATTAACTGTCAAACTCATATGTTATAGTCTGTGTAGGCTGTAGTGGGGTAGACAATATGGGGTATAATACTTTTATGTTTTCCTACTTGTACCCACCTGCTTGCTAGTTCATTCATTCCTCATTTCTTCACATGGTATAGAGCAGGTTCCCTTGTGGAACGCTTCCTAGGGCCCACCATTGAAAATCGATTTTTTTTTTTTCTGACCGGAGTGCGAGTCGCCCTTGCCCGAGGCGCGCCCCGTGGGCCGCCCTCTCGTCGCGTCCCCTGCCCTTAGCGGCCTGTCGCGCCCCTCTCACGGCCCCTCGCGCCACCCTTAGCGGCCCCGTCGCCACCCCTAGCGGCCCCGTCGCCGCCCTTCGAGGCCCCTCGCGGCCCCTTTGCGGCCCCGTCACCGCCCCTAGCGGCCCTGTCGCCGCCCTTCGAGGCCCCTCGCGGCCCCTTTGCGGCCCCGTCGCCGCCCCTAGCGGCCCCGACGCCGCCCTTCGAGGCCCCTCACGGGTCCTTCGCGGCCCCGTCGCCGTCCTTTGCGGCCCCGTTGCCACCCTTCTAGGCCCCTCTCGGCCCCTTCGTGGCCCCGTCGCCGCCCTTCGCGGCCCCGTCGCCGCCCCTATCGGCCCCGTTGCCGCCCTTCGCCGCCCCGTCGCCGCCCCTAGCGGCCCCGTCGCCGCCCTCTCGTGGCCTCTTCTCGGCCCCGTCGCCGCCCTTCGTGGCCCCGTCGCCACCCTTCCCAGCCCCTCCTCGGCTTCTCCGCCACCAGCAGCAGCCGCCGCCAGCAGCAGCCGACAGCAACACACGTCGCCGACAACAGCAGCGGCCACCACCCAGCAGCAGCCGTCGCCGCCGACAGCAGAGACTGCCGCCGCCACTGACAGCAGGAGCTGCCGCCGCGGTCGCGGCTCTGTCCCTGCCGACGCGCCTCGGCCCTGCCCCGCCGCTTGCCGGCCCCTACCTACCAGCCCTAGTGAGAGCACTATGGAGCCACGTTTGCTACTGCTGCCCTTAGCCTACTGCAACTGCTATCATGGCTACCCCTAGTGTTCTAGTCTTTGATGCTGAGGGTCGGGCTGTTGACTTTGAAGTCTGGGTCCATGATCTACAGCTTTTCCTACAGTGCGGTAGGTGTCAGAACATTATAGCTTACTCATTTGTGTAGGCTATAGTGGGGTATCCCATAGGGGGTACAACCCAATTAGGTTTCCTATTTGTACTCACTTCGTTCATAGTCATTCCATCCTCGTTCAATTCTTCTCATGGAATCAGAGCAGGTCCCCTCCTAGGGACTGTTCCTAGGGCCCACCGAAGCGCGCCCCTAGGCGCGCGTTCTTTTTTTAGCGACCCTGCGTGTCGCCCTTACCGCCGCTCTCTCCTCGTCGGCCCCGCTTAGACCCCGCTACGGCCCCGCGTCGGCCCCGCTTAGGCCCCGCTACGGCCCCGCGTCGGCCCCGCTTAGGCCCCGCTACGGCCCGGCGTCGGCCCCGCTTAGGCCCCGTCGGCCCCGCTTAGGCCCCGCTACGGCCCCGCGTCGGCCCCGCTTAGGCCCCGTCGGCCCCGCTTAGGCCCCGCTAAGGCCCCGCGTCGGCCCCGCTTAGGCCCCGTCGGCCCGCTTAGGCCCCGCTACGGCCCGTCGTCGGCCCCGCCCAGACCCCGTCGGCCCGCTTAGGCCCCGCTACGGCCCCGCGTCGGCCCCGCTTAGGCCCCGTCGGCCCCACTTAGGCCCCACTACGGCCCCACTACGGCCCCGCTACGGCCTCGTCAACTCAGTCGGCCCCGTCTAGGCCCCGCCGACCCTGCTACGGCCCCGCTACAGCCCGCTGTCGGCCCCGCTACAGCCCGCCGTCCGCCCCGCTACAGCCCGCTGTCGGCCCCGCTACAGCCCGCCGTCGGCCCCGCTACAGCCCGCAGTTGGCCCGCCGTCTGCCCCGCTACAGCCCGCCGTCGGCCCCACTACAGCCCCGCTACAGCCCCGCTGCAGCCCGCCGTCGGCCCCGCTACAGCCCTGCTACGGCCCGCTGTCGGCCCCGCCGCCCGTGCTGCAGCCCGCCGTGCCGCCCGTGCAGCCGCCCACCGTGCCGCCCGTGAGCCGCCCCAGCCGCCCGTGAGCCGCCTGTGCAGCCGCCCGCGCCGCCCGTGAGCCCCTGCGTCACCCGAGCCGCGCGAGCCGCCCGAGCCGCCCGAGCCGCCAGAGGAGCCGCACACCTGCTCCTGTGGGGCCACTGCTGCTCCTGGGCTGTGCCGCTGACCTACCCGACTTTTCCTGCCCGGTGAGACTGTCAGCTGCTGTCATGGCCACCCCCACTGTCCTAGCTTTTGACGCTGAGGGTAGAGCCATTGACTTTGCAGTCTGGATTGAAGACCTCCAGCTGTACTTACTGTGTGATGCGATAGATGAGGTCTCTCTCTTTGACTTTGTCTCAAGCGCTGTCCCTGCCCCTCCTGCTGATGCTGACCCCGCTGTTCGCTCCAAGTGGGCGACCCGCGATGCTGCTGCACGTCTTGCTGTGCGTCGCCACCTCCCTTCCTCCGAGCGTGCCCACTTTAGTCAGTGCAAGACCGCTCAGGCCTTGTACGACGCTGTAGTTGCACGCTACTCCTCCCCTTCCTCCGCTACGCTTAGCCGCCTTATGCTACCGTTTCTCTTCCCTGACCTCGCTGCCTTTCCCACTTTCGCTGACCTCGTTACCCACCTCCGCGCTAGTGACGCTCGCTACCGCGCTGCCCTTCCTGCTGAGTTCCGCGCCGCAAACCCTCCTCCCATGTACATCACTCTCTACTTTCTCGTCACCCGTCTCCCTGAGTCCCTTCGTGTAGTTAGGGACCAGTTTCTCTCTGTCTGTCCCACCACCCTCACTGTCGACCTCCTTGAGGAGTCCCTGCTAGCGGCGGAGAAGAGCATCGTCGCTGTAGGGGCCTCTCGGGGTGACCCTCGCACCCCCATCTTTGAGGGGTGCTCTCCTTCCCCCCTGCTGCCCTCTGTCGCCTCTGCCGCTGCGGCCGACCTCGCTGGTTTTGAGTCGGTCGGTGCGGCGTCTGCCCCCAGCGGTAGACGCCGCTCTGGCAAGGGCAAGGGGGGCAAGGGAGCGGGTAAAGCTAGAGGGGGCGGTGGCGGAGGAGGTGGGGGTGGCGGGGGGAGTGGGGGTGGCGGTGGAGGTGGTGGCGGGAGTGGTGGTACTGGTGGAGGCGGTGGAGGCAGAGGTGGTGGCGGAGGAGGTAGCGGAGGAGGTGGGGGCGAGGGTGCTGGTGGGGGCGGTGGCGGTGGAGACGGGGGTGGCGGTGGAGGCGGGGGTGGCGG